TTTTTTTTTTTTTTTAAACGGTCAGATTCTGAATGTTGTTATCCTCTTTTTTTTCTCTTCTCATTCTTACGAGTCCCCTGCCAACGAGGCAGGGTGGAATCCGTGATCTGCTCAAGCTGTGTATCCTCAGAGGATTGTAACCCTGATAACACCGGCACTTAAAGGAATGCATCCAGCCAATTTCATGGCCGAATCCATGTTTTCTTTTTTTCTTGTTCTTCTGTCTTTTTGGAGTCTGACAACCTGGCCAGGGGGCTGAGATGTCCTCAATGACGGCACACTCACGACCACTTCGAAGAATTTCACGGCCGAAGCTTTGTTTCCTTCCCCCCCCCGCTCCTTTTGCGAGTTGTTGTCCTTTAGTCTGTGTGATGTGCAGCGGACGGTGGTGGATTAGATAGGGGTCAATGGTGTTATCGCAACTTATCGGGGCTCTTTGTAAACGTATTAATGAGGTCTTGTTTGTTTCGTCTTCATGTGCGCAGGTGTTTCTCGAGGAAAGCTCGTTGGACGAACTTGTTGCGCTTCTGAAGAGGGCGAAGGTGAGGAGGGTTTGATGCGTAAAAAGAACTCTTGAATCGTTCCCTTTCTAGCAAATGCGAAATAGCTGCCTGCCATGGAACCCTTGTGCTGTGGGTGTGTGAATCGTTTTCCGACTCCTTTTTCACTCGTGCTTAATTTCTGCAGGTGGAGGACCGCGTGCTGGAGTTCTTCCCAATGCAGAAGCGGACCCCGGAGTATTTTGCGGAGCATTTCATGAAAGAGGGCTTGGTACGTTGATGGAATGGTCTTTGAAGAGAGATCAGATTCGGGGAGTGTGGTTGGACAAGATTGTGCATTGTTTCGTCGGGAGTTTTATGAGCAGTCTGCAGTTGCTGCTTAGATTTGCCCTTGGCGGGAAGGAGTTCAAAAATTCTTGTTGATATAGTTGGTGAATATCAGTCGAGTTGGACGATGCAGTGTTCTCGGTGTGTCTGTGTTATGGTTGTGCGGATTCTCTGTTTCATGCTGTTTGTACGTTATTTGGTTGCTTATGTTTCAGCCTTATCAGAATAAAAAAAACTTAGGCTACCAGAGTGGCCCGGGGGCACTTGCCCGGCCGGGCCAAAAAAAAAAGGCGTTTATTCCAAATTTGGTGAAGAATTTCGATGTCTTTTTTTTTTTTTGATGGGACTTTCCCTGGTCCTTTCACGGGCTGGCCATCCGGGCCCGGGCGTCCCGGCTGGTAGCAAAAAGGCGTTTATTATTATTATTATTTTTTTTTTTCTCAAGGAGGATGCTCCAATCTATTCGTGGGGAGCAACACGGCTGGGAACCGGGCCCAGCGTCCCTTATCAGAATACAAAAAAGCGAATTATCGGGGCCATTACCCGGCTTCGGCTGAAACAATTGAAAAATGGAAGCCTCAAAAGCATTCATAATCCACTACACAAAATCTACCAAAACAGTAGAGTAGATGTATCAAAATCCTCCCAACCACAAATTTGATAGGTGCGAACCCATTCAATCCCACCTAAGACTACAATAGTACCGACTGGTTACCTGTTTCAATGGAAGAGCACTTGCGGGGTGATTTTGATGAAGAACGTGAGGCTGGTGTTGTCCTGTGTCTCACCTTTTGGCTGGCCGGTTGCCTTTGTATGCGATTGTGAAACAGTCTGAAATCGTTGAATACAACCGCAAGAAGGTCTTCGATGTCATGCTCAAGGAGCTGCACACTTCGCTCTCTGAAATTATGAGGTGAGCATCACAATTTTTGTCGACTGGTTTGCTGGGGGGCTGTGGGATGTCTCTCTTGTGTACATGAAACCTGAGTTGCTCTCGGGGGGGGGGGGGGTCTCTCGCCTTCACCTGCATCTTGCATCTTTCATGGAGGGAGAAAAAAAGCTTGAGACAAAGTCTGCGTCTGCCCTGGGATGTTTCTTATATCTTCTGGGCGCTCGTCTCTTCTGACCATGAAATTTGGGTTGCTCTCTATGGGGGTTTCTCTCTCTCCTCCACCTACACATCATTTATCTTGCATCCTTCATGGAGAGAAAGAAAGAAAGCTTGAGACAAAGTTTGCATGCGTCAAAGGGTGAGAGAGGGAGGAGGATCATGAATTTAATGCGGAATCTATTGCCAGTGAAACATGTGCAAGAACGTGTACGATGAGGAAGTGGATACGATGGAAACAACACTGCAGAGGAAGGGAAAGGTGAAGATCTATGCTCACTGCGGGAAAAAAAGCCGAGCGAGTATATGCTCGCTGTGAGAGAGAAAAAGAGGACAATGAGGATGTTGAAAAAGTACAGGTCATGTAATAGAACTGGATCACACCACAGAAGATTAGCATGGCCCCTGTGCAAGAATGACTCACATAAATTGAGGAATGGCCCAAAATTTTAACAAAAAAACAAAAGAAAAAAAAGTCCTGGACTGACAACATACGTTCGTTCGGTCTGAAGGAAATGAGAAGGCAAGAGGGAGGGGACCAGAGATATATGTTTCTGTCGACTTTGCAGTAGTGCTGAAAAGAAACGACAACTGACTTGCTGTAAGACGGAATGGTTCCTCCACCTTTCCTGCCTAAACCAACACGAAGACTCACGAGACTAAAACTTCTGAATTTGTGTGCCTGCTGTCACCATCGTTGGACATCTCTCTCTCTCTCTCTCTCTCTCTCTCTCTCTCTCTCTCTCTCTCTCTCTCTCTCTCTCTCTCTCTCTCTCTCACACACACACACACACACACACCCTCCCTCCCTCCGATCGATCGATGAATTTGTCTGCATCCTTATATGATGAACACATGCGTGCAATGAAACAACATAGAATGCCATGTCTGAGGGCGTGTTGGTTGTATCGCTTTTGCTTGTCATTTCAGCGAAGGAGGGCCTGTAAACCTTGGAGAAACTATTGAGCTAGTAAAGCAGCGGCGCAAGGAAGGAGAGCTGCCTGATGTGGACATTGTGAAGACCATCTGGGAGTCCATGATGGATGCTGTGCAATGGAGCGGCAAGAACCAGCAGCAGAATATCAACAATGCACTCCGGCAGGTCAAAGGGTGGGCTAAATTGCTTGGAGCGTTCTGCACTACACCCAGACTTGAGGTTGAGCTGATGTATAAGATTCAGATCCACTGCTATGAGGACGCGAAGTTGATGAAGCTCTTCCATGAGGTGAGGCTTAAAAGATCAATTATTGAACTGCTCAGAAATGTTTTTGTAGATTTTTGGTGCAAGGGGGTGGGAGGTTTCGTTAACCGTTAATTGTGTGTGTCGAGTCCAGAGTCCAATCTGTCTCTTCTCGTCTCCCCGACCATGCCATGTATGTGAACGGGAATGGCAACAAGATGGACAAGTCTGTGCGAGGTGGACTATCAGTTCTTTCTATGACATTCCTATGCCATGTGGCGTGTCTATGGTCAAGGGAAGGAGATACTGGCTTGATTACATGTACAGTACAGGTGCAGGAGGATGGAGGAGGAATGTGCGAAGCGGCTGGTTTTGTAATTCAACCATTCTGAGGTGCTGTAATGTTGGGAACCATGTCGAAGCCGGTACTCCTTGTCTGTGTATTGTATATATATGTACTGATCGTCATAGTTGGCCTTGCGAAATGTGATGTGCAGATTGTGCGGGCGCTTTACGATCTTGATGTGCTGTCCGAGGATGTTATTCTGAAGTGGTTCCGTAAAGGCAACCTCACGAAGGGCAGGTGAGCGTTTCTATGTGGTTTTCAGTCTGTAGCGGCCATTGTTTCGATGTCTATGATTCTATCCGTTTTCCAAGCAGAACTCGCATGTCGGTGGCGAGTGAACGTCCCATGGAATGCAAATAGACTGAATGGAATTTCGCCTTTCATTTTACGCTGCTTTGAAGTCTGAGAACAGTGAGGAGTTCTAGGCGTCATTAATCTGTGTGTGTGTATTCACTTCACTGTTTTCGGTGTTTGTTGTTGAATTGGAATTCGCTGGGAGGGGAAGGTGGTCTGACTGTGTTCTTGTTGTCTGTCTCTTGACTTTCGTGTGCAGGCAAATGTTTGTGAAGTCCCTCGAGCCGTTCGTGAAGTGGTTGGAAGAAGCTGAGGAGGAGTCTGATGATGAGAACTAACTTTTCAGCAAACGTCCTGATTTGGGGAGAAGGTTTTGTCGTCGGGGGCCTCTCTGGTTGTCAATTTGATGGTCTGTCGTCGAGGGCGGCAACTGGGTAGAGAGTCATTTTGCGCCCTCTTGTACGGAACAGCCTCCTTATGTGTTTGCAACTAACGACCATCAGGCAAGATTCTCCACGTTGGAGAAGGATTGAATGAGTTGATTGGCACAACCTTGTTTTGATTCTCCCTATGAATTGGAGTGGAGTGGGCCAGAGTTGGTGGTGAGATCACAGACGGGTATGAGGTGGCAGTCGAGGCCAAGATTGTGTCCAACTCTGTGATTTGCGAAGTGTGAACGTTGAAGCTGTTTGTTACGTTACGAAGATGTGAAGGGAGGGGTGTAATTCCTGATTGAGTTGAAGGCGAAGACTGATCAGTTGTTTAGTGAAATGTCCACGTTGTCACTCCCTGTGCCTAATGCCATTTTTGGAAAAAACGAGGCAACGGAGAAGTTTGTCTTCGCTCGATCTAGTGGGAGACTAGTAGTTTTTAGTGAACGTCTCTGCTGTCACAGTCTTTGGTTTGGTACTGTAATGCTTTTTTATGGCAAACGAGGCCACAGAGGAAATGTGCTCACATCAATCTGATCATTCGCAGACTTTCTAGCCCTTTCAGCCCCTTGCCTTCTCCTTTGGCCTAGAGTAAACCGAACTGGTGCCGGCCTAAGTTTGGCTGGACCGAACTGGTGCCGGCCTAAGTTTGGCTGGCGCCGCGAGCCATTTTACCACGGAACACCAAGCCCCGAAAGTTGCAGCAGCATGCAAGCTGGAACTTATAAAGAATGGCTGGGAAATGTACTAGCGGTCTATTAAATCAAAACTCCTCTATTGGAAAAATATCCTTGGTGACTGCATTTATCAAACTTGTAGGGGCCTCAACCCGGGGGCCCTGCATTGTGCTCAGAGCTACACTGTTTTCCTGGGCACCCGGGCATCCAGTTTGTGCCCGGATACACGCCCGGGTGCCCGGCCGGGCATGACCCCCGGGCAGGGTCCCTGGAAGTCCCAGGCTGGACAAGTCTTCCCTTTGTTAGTATCGACGCTTCGGATTTGCTCACTTTTGATGGCCCGGATGCAGCTTTGCAGCAGGGGTAGCTTTTCCCAGTCGGGACTGGAATCTGCTTTTGGCTCAAATCCTAGTACCACTAGACCCTAGGAACTTTCTCACATATTTTTGAGGCTTGGGCGGTGACTTTTGACCCCTGTTTCTGGCCTTAGACCAAAAGTGACGACCCTTGCTCTCGTCTGGGCAGTTTGAATCGGCTTTATTACAACCCCGTTCTAAACTTATTTAGCCCATTTAAAAACAATTTGACAGCCAACACTCTAAAAAGAGAAAAGAGCCCTGATCTGGGCTCCTTTTGGAGAGTGTGGAAACCCCCCACTGCCCCCCCCAATAAAAAGTTTGTCCTCTTCGCCCAATGCCTGGGTATCTCGGGCGTCAGACCCCCCCGGGTGCGACACCGGGGTGACCGGTCGGTCGTGAAAATCTTCCCGGGTTCAGAGTAGTACGATTGAATGATTTTAATCCACTGTGTGGGCTGTACCCCGTTGTTAATTAGCAAGGGACTATAACAGCCGTGGATTATTTCTCCAATTGCCGTAGCCTGCTGTGTATTGTTTCTCCAATTGCCGTAGCCTGCTGTGTATTGTTTCTCCAATTGCCGTAGCCTGCTGTGTATTGTTGGTTTGCCTCAGGTTTTGCCCGGTCATTTGTGGAGGTAGTGGCGTAGTCTCTGGAATACCCACGACGGCGACGTGTACTCGCACGCTCTCGTCGAGGACAACGGTCTCAGATGACGTTGTCCAAGCGCAATTTTGAAGACGGTACCACAGAAAACTGGTTTCTCGTTGAGCGAAGTCAGGATGAATATTCGAGGAGACAAATGCGAAGGTCAATACTCTGAAAATGGCTGAGTGTGCAATTCGAGGAGACGATGGCAGCAGATGGTCAGAAGGGAAGTTGATGAGCCGAAGGTGTTTCTTGATGGGGGGTCCGAATGTACCCAGAGCTCGAGGACCACACTCTGAAAATGCCCGAGTGTGCAATACCCTCAGGCTCTCCTCCGCTGGATGTGGTGCCCGGGTTTCCGGGATTTGCCGAATGTGGGCAGAGCGTGATGAACACACCCTTAGAATGCCCTGCCTCCTGCGTGTGCGACCGTGAGGTTCTTCTCACCGGGATGTGGCACCTGCGTGTCTGCCGTGCCGTTGGATCTGAAGTCTGTTTTATTGTGGTATCTCTTGCATGCTTGTTCCGCCAGTACTCGTGGCTGAGGCAGAAAAGGGTTTTTCGCGCAGCTGAATTTGGTATTTGGCTTTTAGGCATGCATACAGTGATTGTGCTGCCACTCTGTTACGTGGGACTTGTCCCAAGATGGCACTGGGAGCAGTGGGTTGACCCCCTCCGCTTTGCTTCCCAGGTTGCATGCATGTGACGAGTGGAAAGTTGGAAACAGATCACCTTTTGACGTGGGCGAGGGCATTTAGAGTACATGTCCTTGCATGCATCTGTGTGTGCTTGATACGTTTGTCTGTTATAAGAAGAGCTTGATATGTATCTGCTATGAGAAGCTTAATGTGGGCTTCTGTATCGCCTAATGAGCGAAAGCTCAGGAAACCCATGTTTGTCTCAGGCGTTCCCTGTATGAATGGGTCATGGGCTGTACGTACTTTCTTACCGTAGCAATCTAATTAAAGATAGGGCCCGCGAATCTTATGTACCCTGTGTACGGTAGGAAAAAAACTGTGGAAGTGTGATTGCCAATGCAGAGAAGCAACCTGGAAAGGGTGGATCTCTTTGCAGTTGGAAAAGAGGAGAAAGTGTAACCTGGAAAAGTGTTAACTACAAACTGGCTGAGATGAATTGAGTAAATTTATACACCCATGAACAGTTGAAATGTCCACATACTATCAGATGAATCGAGTAAATTTATTCTAAATTGCCCGGGGGTGCCTAGTTCAATGATGATATCTCAATCAATGATGATATCTCAATCAATGATGATATCTCAGTGTGTTAAGCAAAGCTAACAAGACCGATGATGTGACAATAACAATCATATGACAATAAAGTTAGAGGAGAGGAGAGGAGAAAGGACAGAAAGAAAGGAAAGGAGGAAGGTAGACGACTCGTTTCCCGAACGCGACTTGGTATCTTAAAATAAACTTGAAGCCCGGATATGGCAAATATCCTTGCCGATTTCACCTGGCCGCCAACCAGAATCTCAAGGCCGCCCTGGTTTTTTCCCTTTATTTTGGGGTGAAAGAAGGGAAAGAAGGGAAAAGAAGGAAAAAGGAAAACAATGGTGGTGAGTGAATGAGGAACAAATTTAGTGGAAAGCTGGAAATCGATGGGCCTAGCTCAGTTGGTACAACCAATGAACTGTTGAAATCCAGACCCAAGTTCGAATCCAGCTGCGATCAATCAATGGATGATGGATCTGCAAAGGTGAACGGCGTACCTTTTGCATAATGGGTCAAAGGAATGGAATAAAATAGCTCTGAATTACTGGGGTGGATCAGCTCAACAATGATATCTCGAGGCTGTCTCCTTTTACCCCTAAAAATAAAAATAAAAAGTTAGTGAATGATTAGGAAATGGAAAAGAGGGGCATGCTGACACACGTGTGAAGAATCAATCTCAAACTGCCAAGTGTTTATAGCTCTGTCGTATCCGTGGAAAGCAGGAGGGCAAGTTTCCACTGCTGTATCCTTGTGGACTCGGCTGTAAAGGACTTGGCTGTAAACTTTCAGAAGCAGACAAGATCTTTCGCACATGTGTGTTCGCAGAGGGCACTCAGTCTGCTGCTCACCAAATCTGCTAAAGAAAAATGAATCTGTGGCTAGGACATGAGATACACCGCCATATATATTTTGTCTTTTCTGCATGCGGTGGGCCGTGGAGTGGGGACCAGAACGGGAATCTCTTCGCGAATAGATGGCCCCACTAACATGCGCTTCTTCACTTCGGACTTTTCTGTCCGAGCGCAAGTTTTCTGGAGTAAGGACCACAACGGGTAGTAGTAGACTGCAACGATGTTTTGAGCTGGAGTGGAAAAGTCCTACCGTCTTCATTTGAATAGAGCATCGGATCATTATGGCATTAGAATCATTTTGACAATTAGGGCGCCAAAGGGCAAAGTGGTTGGGATCACCACATATGAAGGAAGGTGGCACAATTGGAGAAGTATGTTAGCGGTCGCCCAATAATGTTGTTGATGATAACAATAATTGATGAAGGTACACAGCAGCATGTAGGCGATCGCCTAGGACAGTTCGTGAAACGAAGTATCACAGTGAGGTTAATAGCACATCATCATCATTGGTAGACAGCATACATCCTTCAAACAAGTTAGCACACTGCAAGCATATCTATGGTCCATGGATCCACACCACACCAACTGGGAGAAGACAAAAAACAAGACGAAGGCTAAAGGAGATGGAAGATACGCATGGGTAATGAATTTCTTTTGAATGCGGCTTTCAATCGGAAGATGAAAAACATGAACTACTGGCGGTGCGGACCTGAGCGTTTTCGGCTGTGCGCCATCGGTGCTCCTAGGGGTGAACGAGTTGAGTACCCCATTCATATACCATGCATAGTTGGAATCCCATTTGACTAGACCTACTGAAATGAAATCACCGTGGAAAACCCAGCTCAACTGATGGGTCTCACGATCAGACCAGACAGACCAGAGGGCTAAACAGGACCTCGAGTCGAACGATCACCTTGAAACACTAGCGGTTAATGGAAGGCTAAAAATTTAGGGTTTTTTGCCGCGTCGCTACAAGCAATCTTGTCGATACTTTTGTGAACAAACTATGCAGGGTCGTAATACAAACATAAAAAAAAAAAACAATCAGGCAAAGAAGAAACGAAAAAATCAAACTGAATACAGACATACCCTGAAGCACATATTTAACAGCCAAAAAGAAAAACCGAGAAAAAAGTAAAAATTCAGGGAAATATGGCAGTTCCGATGAAAAGTTCGCCAAAATTCGCCGAATTTTGGGCCTTCCATTAACCGCTTCTCTCGAACCACAGTCCATCTTGAAACAGCGAGATTCATTAAAAAAGAGATTCAAACGTTGGGTCCCGGGAGTGAAAACCATCCATCCGGTCCCACAGACCTCAGGACTAGAACCTTCTGGTCATGAAGGTCGTGAAGAGTATGGAACAGTATTTGAACTGTCAACCATGTAATCAATTGCATCACTTCAACCTTAAACTGCACATTTATCCGACACCAGAAAGTGACATTCCCGTGGGGGGGGTGCCGACCGGAAGACACACATGGGTCCAGGCTCACCTTTTCGAGTGCGGACTTTGGCGATTCTTTGTGATTCGAAGAGTTGATAAAGTCTTAAAAAAAGTTTGAAAAGTTGAGATCCTGTAGATTAGGTCGTGAGCTTTCCAGGAAAAGGATGTCAGAAAAGTGAAAAGAGAACTTATAAACCATAAAACAAATGCTGCGCCGCGGGCCTGGGCACAACATCAGCAGCTCAGTAAAAAATAGACGCTAGTCTGACCCGACAAAGATAGAGGTCCGGCCCGGCAGCAGCAACCCAACGAAGATAGGGGCCTGTCTGAGTGGGCCTGGCAGCAGCCACTTGACAATGACAGGGATCCACCTTGAGAGGGGTGGGCACGGCAACACG